AAAAAATAAAAGTATATTTTAAATTAATTAACTATCTAACAAAAATCATCCATATAGCATCGAGGTTAAAAATAATGTTTATTCAAAAAGTTATAGTTTAGTTGGCAAGGGGGTATACTCCATTGTTGATCAGGATTTTATTGTTTAAAAAAGTCAATAAAAAAGTAATTTTTATAAATTTTCTAATTGTGATATAAATGAATTGTCTTTAATTAGATCAAGGATGAATTAATTTTAAGATATGTGTCAGTTAGTTTTGAGGCATGCGATTGCAATAAGTTGACCCAAAATACCCTAACAATTAAATAAAAAAAGATACTATTAATACATCAGAATTTATACCTTTAGGTCATAAAGACACCAATTAAACAAAAAAAATCCTATAACAAATATAATATTTTTTAATTGTTTATTAAAATAGCAAGGTAACAACAGTTTTTTTAATAAGAAGTACAGACTTTTTATTTATTGGTTTTATTTAGAAGATGAACAACCATTTCATTTTACTACTGTTCATCACATGGTAACATCTTATTTTGACCTGAACTGGATTTCTCTAAGCAAAGGGCTTTTGGTTGTAACAGTCAAGATTGTTGCCATAACCAACTTTCAGTAAGTCACAGTATCTCTTATAGAACCCGATGCGGTCCGCAACCTGTGCGTTTTGACCTTTGCCACATTCAATGCCACCGTTGATGATGTTGGTAATGACCCCGTACCCGGGGACTCGACCAGCTGCCCTGTCTGCGGCGGATGGGGTCCATTTTCCGGTGATTACATCATGACATGAAGGTTTGGGGGACTGTGGAGTCATCCAGAACCAAAAAGCTGTCTTGAAAGAAATGGTAGCGTCTGTTGCTACAGCATCAGGGTCATTTAGCAAGTTGTAGTTAATTGCTTTTCCTGCGGGACCATAGTTGTAATTGCTGCAGAGTCAAAGTCAAGGTCAAGAGTCAACAATTGGAAAATTGCCCCTTCAATATGAGAAGTCATTTCCAAATTTTCTAGAATCATATCCTTGTCAAGGCAGCCTAAAATGAAAATTGGGATAAACTTATTATTGGATTTCACTTTAGTGATTAAGAAATTATTTGAGTTATATTGAAAATATAAATTTAAATTCTTTTAATGTTGTTTAAGTTAAGCACCTTTAATAAGTTACGTTTAGTATCTTTAAAAATTGAATTTTATTTAATATATGTGAATAATATGGTTTATAAATACTCATAAAATTAATTAAGTTAAAAATCAAAATATCTATATTTATAAATATAAAATAAAAAAGATTAAATACAGTTCTTTCTTTGCCAAAATAAAGAAAGTAAATAGGAAAAAAATTTAAAAATTGTGGGACAAAGTCACAAGGAGTGTAATTAATTAGTACTTACTATGAAATCTGGATGGGACCTCGGCCATAATACTTTTTGCCGGGAACACAAGGCCACTGTTGACTTGGAGAACAATAATCTCCAGGGTTACCTCGCTCCTTAACGAAGCAGTAGCCCCACGCATATGGACCATCTGGGGCAGTAGGCCACCCACCTGTACAATAGTCATTGATTACAAACAATCTTCACATTTTGTGAAGGTTTTAATTTCAAATTTTCCGATTCTTGTAAAACTTATATACTTAGGAAAGGAATAAAAAATATGGATAGATTTGTGAAATGGGGTATAGGAATTAAACCTGTAGTTTCATGAGAAGTTTGAGCTAAGAAGGCGGCGATCTCTCTTTTCTTAGTGT